CCGCAATTCCGGAATCGGTAGGAATTCCGTGCAATTCCGGAATCGGTGGGAATTCCGTGCAATTCCGGAATTCGGTCGAACTCGATCAATCTTGACTGGGTGTCTTATGTTGTGTGTCGATCGAGTTCCCGGAATTGGACGGAATCGATTCCGGTGCGGAACTGATTCCTCCAATGTTCAACATCGCGGAATAGGATGCATTCTCAAATATAATTTTATATATTAGTTATGCAGCAAATTTTTATGTATATCTAATTTCATCATCATCTTATCGTCGAGATTTTCTACAACTGATTTTATTTTGTTCTAATCAAAATCGTTCGAACAATCATGTTCATCCTCTACCTGGAATACAATTTACCCTGAATCAAATGTCGACAATACAACAATTTCCACGAGTAACACATTGAATTATTACCGTGAACAACTCACTCACAGTATTAATCAAATGATTACCATTCTAATGACATAATAATAATATTCATACCTGTGAATTAGTCTTCTTTTCACCTTCACATAAATCTGTTGTTTTTTAGAGAATTAAATTATTCATTTACATATTTCTTAATACTATTGTTGAGAGTATAACATCTAATTAAATTTTCATCTATGCCATAAGCTTGCTTAGAAATTATTTATTTTACAAAGCCTTGCAATATATAAAATTAATTGTTACTATATTAAGATAAATGAGAGTTAACGAGAATTGTTTCTCATTTAGCAAAGTATAGATGTCACTCATGATTGTAAAATTTCTTTTCGAATCATCTATCTTCTACCGCCATCTTTCTTTTTTTACTGATTTGTTCTCTTTATACAACACTATGATAAACCATGGATCAATTAAGAGAATAATAGGAATCGAAAATTAAAATAGAAATGATAACTTGTATTGAACAGTTACCAATTGAATTATGGGTTGAAATATTTTCTTATCTAGAAGCACATATTATTTTTCAAGGATTTACGAATTTAAATTATTATTTTAATCAAATATTAACTTCGAATTATATTTTATTTCATGCTCAATTAGGCGTAGTTGATTGTAATCCATTAGAATATTCTATTAAACCATATTGGTCAGAATCAATACTCAATCGTATAATTAATCTTCAACCAAAATTTCAACATCATCTATGTCATATACCAGAATTTCTTCGTTGGCATTGTACAAAACTTAGTCAATTAAAATCTTTAACAATTAAAATACGTGGACGAGAAATACGATCTATATGTTATGCTTTAGAACAGTTGAAATCACTTGTTTATCTTTCTATCGAATGTGTACCAAATCAAATATTACTTGATGCTATTCTTTCTACATCTACTATACGTTCTTGTCGATTAGAATTTTTACGACCAGTAACACCAATTAATACTTATTCAAACAATCTAAGTAATATCGAAATACTTAATATTAAATTACAAGATGATTCCTATGGTTCTATAATGAATTTATTATTGAGTCATATGCCGAAATTAAAAAGATTGGAAATGAATAATAATGATATTTATGTTAAAAATCGTGAATGGATATTTTTTCAATCATTATTTATTCTTCCAAATCTTCGAAAATTTAAAGCACAATGGTCTTCAAATTATTCTGTTCCAATTGTTTTTCAAAACTTACATACAAATCTTCCAAATATTCGATATTTCTCACTTCATATAAATTTTAATTTTATTAATGAAGAATTTTTCGATCATTTAATTTATCATTGGTGGCCAATTTTTAAAAATATCGAACAAGTTTATTTATTTATTAAATGTCATGGATTTTCATCTGAAACGGATAATGATAATACACGAATTTATTTAAATAGATTTCAGTCAATTATACATGCTATGAATGAACAATATATTAAAACTAAATGGAATGAAACAATATTTACAGGAACTAACATTGTGGATATCTCGATTTGTAAATCTTTTAAAACTAATGTCATCTGAATTATTGTTGATCAGTGGACTTTTTCATGATAATAAATGTACAACATCGCTTAAAAAATTGTCTAATTAATTGATTAACTTCTTGATTCATAATAAATTGAAGAGCAGTTAACATAAATAATGATATTGTTATAGAGTTAAGACTTAATAAATAGAGTGGTTCCGGAGCAGATTTTTTTTGTGTTACATGCCATATGATAAGAAATAGATAGAGTGGTGCAGCAAGTGTGACAGTCGCCGTTTGAGCACTCATTTGTTTTATAAGTTTTATTTCACGTCTCCGTTTTTGAGTAGTATTAGGCGAATTTTCACGAATTGCTTGAACTCGACGAGTCGATCGACGGATATGAATTATAATTATAATAACAACGACGGCGATTATTCCATATGGAAACAAACATGAGACATTCGCCATACAAAATGCAAATACATACGTTTTAGTTGATAATATACAACTACGAGATTCAATTTCAAAACTATCATTAGCATCAATAAATATCAATGGTACACATACTACAAAAGCAATAATCCAATTAATAATAATTAATATTCGATGCGTACGCCATGTAAGAAGAAATCGATGTTTATATAAGACACTAAAAAAAAGATGACTCATTGCTTGAATAGCTTTTGAATAACAAATTGCAGTAAGTGAAACAAGATAAAAATAGGCACGTAAAACACAGGACGGTGCATTAATTGCTGTATCTTCGTGAAAACCATAAATAGATCCAATAATTATTACAATTGCATGGAATATAGTAGCAACAGAACTATTACACATAAAACTTTGATTAAATGTATGAAGTTGTCGATTTTTAAGAACAATTATAATTGTTATAAGACTAAGTATAATGCTTACTGTTAATATTACAATAGACAATGAAAAGTTAATAATAAAGAAAAGATTGTTAAGCATTTTTCTGATATATTTAAATGTAATAGATGCGGAATTGGCGTTACTCAAGACCAATTTTATAACGCACTTAAAAAGAATATAAGATATTACAAAATGAACTATCAGGATTTGTTATTTAATTTTGTGAAAATGATGTTGATCGGTAATAAGTCGAAGTTAATCGCAAAAAAAATTTAAAAAAAAGGCGTTATTAATTATTTTTTTATGGCACAATAACTTCAAATTCTCTATAAAAAAAAAGATTCTCTTTGAGAGTATTTCATCTCATTAATATTCAATATAAGTTCAGACTTTGCACCTTTTATCTTGAGTTATTTTTATATTATCCATTTTAAGTACTTTCATATTCACAGATAGAATTAATTTGTAATTATTTATAAAAAATTCATAATGCTTTTACTTTTGCACAAAAAATATTATGTCGCTATGTATGAATATGATTATTAATAAATCACGCTGTTTCCGAATTTCCAGCAATTAGAAATAAATGATCACAGAAATAATTGGAAGCAGAGAGTAGTCAAGAGGATTATTCACACCGTCAATTCTAGTTGTAATTCATTGAGATCTAATATAACAAGTTGCGACATTTCGAAGTCTAGCAGCTTATTTTAAATGAACAATTGTGTATTTTTTACTATGCTGAATTAATAGATATAAGCACTGATTTTTATTTAAACAATGTCATGAAAAAAACAATAGCAATTGATAAAATTCAGATTGAAAGTGTAATTTTCTAAATTTTATTGTCATATAAAAGAAATAAACAAGATACTATTCGATGTCATCAACAAAATGAAGAATAGAAACTATGTGTTTATCGTTGTTGCCAATGCCTACATGTAACATATTGCAAATAAGCAGAAGTAGTTTTTTTCATCGGACAAATGTGTTTACTGAGCTTGCAGATGAAGTCATTAGTTAATATCACCACTTTTTTTTCTTTCTCGTTTGGTAGTTGATGAGCATTTTAAAAACAACAAAATTATCATACTTTTTTCTTTTATGAACATCCTAGTGGTGACTAATTCAATCTTTTAAAGTGTTAAAAGAAATGTAAAATGGCATAGTGCGGCCATGAATGTACTTTTTCTTTTTTGGAAAAAAATAATTTGCTGGAAAACGTATGGCACTTTCTTCTTGGAATGATTAATTGTTAAACTAGAGAAAAAGAACAGTAGAAAATAATAGGAAAAAAAAGTTAGTCAAACATTTATAAAAAATATTTTAGAAAGTAAAGATGTAGAAAATGTTTTGGCTGATATTTGTTTTATCGTTATTTTCTGTTTGTAATTCTATTCTTATTACTAAAATAGAGAATAATATAATAGTTGGTAATATGTATAATACTTTATTCAATATAACACAAACTCAATGTATATGTGAAATGATAAAAGTAAATGATTCAATATCTGCTCTAAATTATTTTACAACAAATCAAACTTGCCAATTATTTCGTTCAAATATTACTTTAATTTTTCTTGAATATTATTCAAATTCTACTTTTATATTTCTTAATCAATCATCAATATCAATATTAAATATTCGAGAATATCGTAAGTTTATTTCTGATATGATTTGCAGGTTTTCATTTGAGAATAATATAAAAATATTGTAGCTTCTTATAGATCGATATTGTAAGGAAGTGAATGAATTTAGAAATTTTGATAAACTTAAAAATTCGAACTTGAAATTTGAAGTTTTTACTTTTTAAATTTAGAAAAACTGATTGATATCGATGTTATTTTTAACTGGATGTAATGCGTGACGTTATCACTAATAACTACTTAGTATGATTACATCTCCTATTGATGATCTATTTTATTTTCAAAATGAATTCTAAGGATTCTAACTTTAAGTCGAGGATCTTAGGGCACCCGCCATTTTGACATTTTTCATACCTCTGTAAGGTATACATGATACACATAGTCTCGAATTAAAAGTGATTACATAGTTGGTGGCTTCCCTCGTCATTTCTACACATCTATGTTGAGAGTTGGAGAGCATGATGAGTGTAAAAAATAAAAACTTTGTGAAAGTTCATAAAAGCTTTTGAAAATTTTATTTTTCATAGTGCATAATACATTCAAAATTGCACTTGACGAAATTCATAATTGAGTTCGTTGCTATTCGTCTCATACGTGCTCTCCTTCTTAGTCTAATACGAACAGAATTATATGTAAACACTAGAGAAAAAGAAAGATAAAGATATCTACTTAAATCCGTATAAGTGTAGTATAGCACATTTACAGCGAAGTATGTGGCAGGCCTGGAAACGAGCCGTTCTGCTCGATTTTTTATCAAATTTAATGTCTCTCATATGTTACGCTCATCGAAAGAAAAGATTTTGATGCTGATAATTTGAAGATATAGTAAATTCGGTTAAATGTAGAAGACAACTTGTTTCCATAGAATTAGCTAGATTTGTAATTTTAGATATCAAAGTTTTATCTTTCTTTATAAGAACTCTTCTACTATTTTCTATTCAAGAGGGAAACACCTGAAAATAGATTTTATTTTTACATTACACTAATGTTTTTGATTAAATTGATTTTTCGGATTCAGAATTGACAGTACATTAAAAAATTAAATGTTAACTCTAGATTTTTTAATCAGAAAAATCAATTTTGAATCAAAAAAAACCTGATTTCAATTGTTTCCTCTAATATCCTACTTCGTAGAATAGCTAAAAGAAAACGTTTACCTAGAAATATGATATTCTTCGCATGGATTTTTTATAATAAAAATTTTCGTACTGAAGCACATCGAGTTATATATAATGATCATTATTGAGTTTAAACATATTTCACCATGTTTTATTTGTTCATTTAGTTCAATAAATGAATTAACTTATCTCTTACGGGTTTTCAGTTTCGAAAATCTAATCGATCGAACTCACTAAAGCATTAGTTATTTATTCCTAAGAAAGTTGGTAGTTCTCGAAAAAATCTCCAAGTTTTATTGGAACAAATTTTTGTAAAAATTTGATTTTTCGGACCGATCCTAGGCCACGAAGAAGTGGTTCATTTCGAGCCCTGTCTCAAAGTAGGCAACGCGATCTAACCCAATCAGATTTTCCTCTCGGGCTAATCTGGCCAATATTCTTATCCTTTTTCATACTTTTTATCGGACTTGATGCGTATCATAAGTCATAGAAACTACTAGAAAAGGTAGGTGAATTTGATTTTGGCTACTATAATGAACTAGTGATCGCTTAAACGGGTTATCTTTCTCATCGACACGTAGTGTATTGCAATTCGTCGAAAAAAAGGCTTTATAAAAGAAATATCCATCTTGAGGATAGGGTCGACTAGGAAAAGTTATCTCGATTAGTGTCTCGAGTAATGTTAAATTCTTAATAAAATCTTATCCAATCTTCTTGTCTCATATTAACCCGATTTTTTCAAAACAGAACCGAGTACGTCAACATCATCATCATCATCAACATCGGCAGTGGCAGCATCAATAACAGCAGCAGTAGTAGCATCACCAACATCAGCAGCAGTAGTCGCATCACCAACAGCAGCAGTAGCCGCATCAACGACAGCAGCAGCAGTAGTCGCATCAACAACGACAGCAGCAATCGCATCAACGACAGCAGTAGCCGCATCAACGACAGCAGCAGCAGTAGTCGCATCAACAACGACAGCAGCAATCGCATCAACGACAGCTGCAGCAGTAACAGCATCACCAACAGCAGCAGTAGCGGCAGCATCACCAACAGCAGCAGTAGCGGCAGCATCACCAACAGCAGCAGTAGCGGCAGCATCATCATCGGCAACAATATTACTAGCAACAACAAGTGGTGAGTGCTGGAGTTAATAAGTATTGCTGGAGTTAATTATTGAAAAGAGAAATAGCTTCATGAGATTAAGAGACTTAGTGTTTGGCACTCAGAAGCATTTTCAAATCGAATGAGAAAGGCGAGTTTGCTCGACAGAAAACGTTGCAAGACAAGAAAATGACCTTTCTACACAAGCAACCTAATATCCATCTACAATACTGAGAACAAAATGAAATGATATTTGTCCAATTATATTTTTTTAAACATCTGACAGTTCATTATGTCGGTGTCGTTTTTCGACACATAAGAATGTTCACCCTAACCTGTGAAGTATGCTTCGAAAGTGATTATTATTCTATCTAGAGCAACTAAAGTTAGTAATTGATGGTTTATAAGTTCCCGTGATCCTATGAGCTTGATTACATTATCCTCCTCTATCCATCGACTAAAATAAGAAGGGAGATAGTAAACTGAAAAACAAAACTTTGTCAGATTATTAAAAATCGTATAATGTTTTTATCAGTGCCAGGAGAAAACGTAACACACGTAGAATTTTATATTTTGAGTACGCTGTTGCGCCGTATACTTTACGATCGAGTCTCTTCTAATGACAACATATGTGAATCCGAAATGAAAACTTTATCTAGGTATAGTGGCTCCGTAAGGTGTGCCAGGCCAATATTTTTGAAATAGATACACTGTCAATAGACTATTTGAAATAAATATCTCTTTTTCGATCTATTACAATTATGACAGTATTTTTTATGTCTAAGAACTTCAGCGAATAGTTGTGGATGACTAATCAATTTGTCACTAACATATACCTACGTTCATCCATCTACATCGAGATACTTTATGCCTCCTTGGTTTAGACCATCTTATTCTAGATAGCCTGAAAAAAATAGCTCGATTTATACATATTGAAAGACTTCCGTTAACTTAATTGGATTTAATCGATAAAGAATGTTATAATTGCATCGTATTAGAAACATATGACTATCAACTCATCATTGACAGATACCAAAAAGTCTAATAAGTTTGATGAAGGGTAATCTCTTTCCGTTTTTGTATCAGCTTAAGTTCATAATAAAATTGAATTAAATTTAGGAGAAATAACATTATGAAGAAGGTTGCACTAGACAACATACAGAATGGAGTAAAAGATTGTTTCGGTTAGACCTGAGAATATCGAAACTTTTCCAGACGAAGCTTACACGATTCTGCCCATTATCTTAGTGCCTACTGAGACAACAGTCTGCAAATTCTACACAGCTCGCCGATGAAATTTTGTTTCTACATAATCCAAGATGTAAAAATTAATTTTTATTTTCGATAGCTTGCAACCTTTTTTCAAATCAAATTACTTACCCAGTTGGCTCTACTCCACGGTCAGTAGTAGTCGTCGATGTGAATAACGACAATAAATCTGATATTGTTGTTGAAAACTATAGTTCAAACAATGTCGGCGTTCTCCTCAACGCAGGCAGTGGTATCTTTAATGCTCAAACTACTTACTCAGTTGGGTCTTCTCCATATTCAGTAGCAGCCAACGATGTGAATAACGATAATAAACCCGATATTATTGTTGCAAACTCTGGTTCAAATACCGTCAGTGTTCTTATCAACGTAGGCAATGGCATCTTTCTGAATCAAACTACTTACTCAGTTGGTACTGGTCCAATCTCAGTAGCAGTCGTCGATGTGAATAACGACAATAAGCCCGATATTATTGTTGCAAACGTAAATGGCAATAACATCGGTGTTCTTTTTAACGTAGGCAATGGCACCTTTCTACATCAAACTACTTACTCAGTTGGCTCTACTCCATACTCAGTAGAAGTCGTCGATGTGAATAACGATAATAAACCCGATATTATAGTTGCAAACCATGATTCAAATACTCTCAGCATTCTTCTTAACGTAGGAAATGGTACCTTTCTGAATCAAACTACATATCCAGTTGGGACTACGCCAATCTCATCAGCAGTCGCTGATGTCAATGGTGACAATAACCCGGATATTGTTGTTGCAAATTTCGGTTCAACTACTGTCGGTGTTCTTCTCAATGCAGGCAGTGGCACCTTTCTACATCAAACTACTTACTCAGTTGGCTCTAGTCCACGGTCGGTGGCAACCGTCGATGTAAATAACGACAATAAACCAGATATTATTGTTGCAAACTCTGGTTCGAATACTCTCAGCATTCTTCTTAACGTAGGAAACGGTACCTTTATGAATCAAGCTACTTATCCAGTTGGCTCTTATCCATGCTCTCTAGCAGTCATCGATGTCAATAATGATAATGAACCAGATATTATTGTTGCCAACCGGGATTCGAACTCCATCAGTGTTCTCTTACACTGTTAAGACTTATCGGCCAACCAAACTCTATCTATTCATTGACATTTTTACTATTCTACTGAAAACATTGCTTTTACTATATATGATACAATGCGAATTGTTATTTATGTTTGCTTCATGTTAAGAATCTCAATAAAACTTCTCGGCTATGAATATTGATGACAAATACATCAATATTCATAACATTGAACAATAATTTCTTATTTAATGATAACATTTCCAGTCATTAATTTTTCTGAATGCATAGAACTAAATTTGTTGTGTTAACTGAGACTACAAAACATTCATTTTGAACCTGTAAAACAGTATGAAAAACGTTAAGACAAATAAACTGCTGCTAATTAAAAGAGAGAAAAGTAGGATGTGGTTTTGGTGTCGGCGAGTGTGGGTATGGGCATGGATAAAGAGAAGACTAATTCATATATATGTTTACGCCAACACTTCATCTCACATGTTCTTGAGGGTGTGGATGTATATTCATCTTTTATTCACTCACGTCCATACCCACACCTTTTGGACGTATGTTATCATTGATATGTGGAACTGGTGAAAATGTCTGTTCTGTTCATTCTTTTCGGGGTATGCACTATCAATTCTCTCTTTTGTTCGAGCAAACAAGGAATAACTGTGAAGCCTTCCATGAGTACGTCGCTAGTAAAATCAAACAAACGTTCCAGAATCCTCTAACAAATTTAGTCAAGAGAATAGAGTGTAACATGTTTCCCTTTCATAGAGTTTGTTTTCAAACAGCGTTAACTGAAACTAAATTGAACAAATCTCTCATGGAGGCATCATCAATAAAAACTGTTTCATTGATGGCGCAATTACATTTGACTGTTTCTGCATACAATACTGACACATTGTATATACATTAGTCATTTTTTTTCTTTTTTCCTTTCCTTGTCATCTATGAAAACTGCAAATAATATTCTTTCATAACTTTAACACAAACTTACATTATTACTTGTATAGAAAGAAAAGAAAAAAAGGTCTTACTCAACCATACACATCATCATTTACAAAATCATCACAAACAATTGGTTGTCGATGCTTTGAAGCAATTCTGAATTCCAACGAACTGCTATTAGTTTCTAGAAAAAAGAACGCTACTACGCCACCAGAAATTACAAGTGAGTGGTATATCTAATCAAATATTTTTAACACATTTCAGTATGTCTTCTGATCTCAAATTCAAAATGCTCCCAATCTCCATACCCACAGACATTCCATCCATACTCCGCATAAACTATCATGTTACCGTCCAAGATCCTCTCCACAAAGCAAAAACATCCCTCGTCTCTGAATCAGAATATATCTCCTCAGGAATTCCCGGCGCCGAAAAGCAATTCACCGGTGAAAATGCCTTTCGTAACAGAATGGCAAAAATGGTGCTCAATAATCCTAACAAATCTGATGAAGACATGATGATAGTGTCATATATCGTATGGAAAACACCTTTACCAGCACAATCCGCCAAATCAGAGTCTGAATTAGCCGCTGCATTTGCACAAGAAATCGCAGAACTACAGGTATCAGAAGGAGTGGACAGAGATCTTGTCGTTCGCCTCAAGACGGAATATAGAGCCTTGAATAAAAAATATTTGGGTGAAGACTACGAAACCAGATATTGGGAGCTCGATGCACTCGCAACACTTCCAACATATCAACGTATGGGGCTTGGATCGAGACTTGTGAAATGGGGCCTTGATATGGTAGAAGCATCTATCAAGGCAAAACCTGGTGAGGTTGATGGCGCGTATTTGGTTGCTAGTCCAGCGGGATCGAGTACTTATCGAAAAGCGGGTTTTTCGGAGGTTGGAGAGCAATTTGTGGAGGTGAATGGACAGGAACCTTACAGACATTGCTGGTTTGTCAAACGATTTGAAAGTAATCAGCAAAATTCCGGGATTGATACCTAGACTTTGACTTCAATCATTCTTAAAACCTTCAAGAAGCAAAGTTAGTAGCTGTTAGCATCAATCAATAAATGATGCTACCTCATGACATCTTACTTCCTCTTTGATCTTTTCTTTTATTATTTTTTCGTTATTATTAATCTATACAATATAAAAAAAATTATTTTGAAATTAACAATATCAAATGTAAATCTCTTCGGCTTATAAAGTACGAAAAAGAATAATTTTCAAACTTAACAGTTATGGACATGAATGTTCAGGAAAAAGTTATTATACGAAATCAATTTTTGCCCTTGTTCATACTTTTTTCAATCATCACTTTATAATCCCTATCTGCTCTTGAAGGTGTGAGTGTAGATAGCTGTTATGATCCGCATCTTCTTTAGATATGACCATGAGGACTCGTCCAATTATCTATATGATTACTCGTTTCTATCATTTGTCATACATAGTGGATTTTTCCTTTCCTGTCACATGTATATACTTGTTAGCCTGTCTGTAGGGCTACGAGAGAATAAATAAAATTGTATATGAGTATATCTCATAGATTTTATTTAATACAAGGAACACGTATCTTTATCAAAGAAAATGAATGGTATATATGCCAAAAAGAAAAAGAAGGAAAAAATGTAATATTTGTTTACATTTTTGACTCAAAAAGAAAAAGAAAAGAAAACGGAAAAATGTGATTACGTATCACATTTTTAATAAAACATGCATAGAAAGAGTGATGACTTGAGTCATCGCTAACAATACTGTTTTTTTCCTTTTCTGTCACATGTATATACTGGCTTTTTCCTTTTTTGTTATGTTTATATGATGTTTTTTTTCTTTTCTGTCATTATATATGTGACAAATTTTCTCTTTTTCGGTTTGTTTTTACTATTATCTTCTTACATGGATTTTTTTATCATTATCTATGAGATTATCCAGCGTGTGGATTTTGGTTTGTAGCCATCGCATTGTTGGATAGGGAGGACATACATTAATAAACACTGTTGGGATTCACATCTCACAATATCACAACAACTTTTCATCCACACCCACACCCACTCGTTATTCAGATATGCAGTGTGTAAGAATATTGAATTTAAGCGAGAAACGAACAAGGCCATGTGCATTATTTATCAGTTTTTTCTCTCTCCCGTTGTATGACTAATGTGTCATAAAGATATATTATATGATTGCCGAAAACAGAAGAAGGATTTGTAGTATTTTTTCGCGTTTTTTCAAAATATATAAAATATTCAGTGCAGACTTTATGACTAATCTGAGAACGAACAGTGCAAAAATGAAAATTTTGAAAAGTCCATTTCTCATATCTATACGAATTTCTGTAAAGAGTGTCAGTGCGAATGTGAGGCAGAGAAAAAAGCACAGATACCCACACCCACCCTCAAGATTCGCTTTCTTTTTTTATCAGGTATTGACAATCTATCACACGATTATTTTATATGACTACGTCAACGACAACTGAAATCGGATGCAGCATACAGTGTACGAATGAAAAGAATACGAGCGTTTTTACTTGTAATGGATGTTCGCAAGAATTTTGTATCGAACAACAACTGAATAACCTTATTCTTGAACATGGTCAACTAAAAGAGTCAGATGAATCTTATCACTATCCGTCGACGAGAGTAATTGATGAGTGGGAACATGAATCTATTGCAAAGATTCATCAAATAGCTGATGATATTCGAAGGGAACTAAAGTCTAACTCTGAAAAACATAAAAATCAGTTTTCGAAACAATGGGAAGAACTATCAGAAGAATTTAAAAAAATTCATAATAGCAATGTTTGTTTGGAAATCGATTTCCGACAATTATCAAACAAACTTAACAAACTCAAATCATATCTTGCAGCACCGCCGACGATTCGTTTTCGAAATAATATATTAATTTCTAAACCTAATATTTGTACAATGCCAGATGATATTTTTGAAATGTTTGCCGGTGATCTGGAAATCAAAGACAACGGTCAAGTTGTTGAGCATGGTTCAACAATTGGCCATGCAGTTGTACGAGGAAGTGGCGAATATAGTTCAGGTAAACATAGATTTCAATTCAAAATTGAATCTTACAATATGAATAAATGGATATTCTTCGGTATTATTTCACATAAAGTAACAATGCGGTCAAATACATGGGCAATACCATCGTGTTATGGATGGGGAGGACAAGATTCTACTATTCTCAATCTTGCAATGCATGCAGGTCTCAATGGTTATTCTTGTGATTTTGAATTAAATGATACTATTGAATTAATACTTGATTGTGATCATCAACTAATTCGTCTGACAAATCTACGTACAAAACGTACACACATGATGAATATTAATCTTCTTAAATGTCCTTTTCCATGGCATTTTCTTCTCAATATATTCTATCCTAACGATCAAGTGCGTATTCTATATACAGACAGTCAAGAAATTTGATTCATTTAGAAGCATTGTCGAGGATGTGGGTGATTTATCAACCTCACACACACATACCCTCAATATGGTTTTAATGATATAAATACAAAATAATATCAAACATATTCTCTTTTATGTCATTATTATGGCTACGACGGTATTCGATCGTCGAGTTATTTTTTTCATTATTGAATTTTTAACTGGATCTGTAAATTTAAATAATACAATCATTACAAACATTAACGAGATCCTAACGAATATATACGCTATACGTAAATGATATTTTGGTGGTTCAGTTATAAATCCCATAAAAACAAAAATTGTAAATGGTACACCCATTGTTAATAAAATCAATAGAAGAATCATTATTCGATAAACCATTTTTAATTCTCTTTGTGCACGAACTAAAGTATTTACAGGTGTAATATGTTGATTCATTTCTTTAACATATCGAACTAATTTCAAATATATAAACATAATTCCACTCATCGGTATTATATAAACATAAAATATATTATAAACTGCTACAACAGAAAGATGAAGTACCATTTGACATATTTGATCATTAACTTGATATTTAATTTCATGAGTGAGTAAATGTGGTAAAATACATATAAAGACAGATACCCACATTAAACAAATGAGAAACAGTTGAAATTTTACTGATTGCCAAAATAATCGAGTGTGATAAACAACTGTCATATAACTATAAGTAGCTTGTAAGAGATATGCATAAAATAATTCACCACCGGTAACATAAATCATATAACCTCGAAAAATACATGATGAATCTTCATAGGAAATTTGTTTAAGATCATTCTGAAGCGTAAAAATTGTCGTCCAAAACATAATAATCGTCAACGAAAGACAAGCAAAACATGAATTAGCTACAAACATCATTGGAATTGTATGACATGTTTTATCAATGAAAATAATCAATAAAAATAATAAATCTAATAGAATAGCTAAGAAAAGACATATAAGTAACAGAATATCGATAGGAATAAACCATGATTCAGTATTTATAAGTGTAGAATTTAAATATTTTGGTAGAGAAACTAAGTGAGTTATTGTGTTCATCTAGAAAATAATGGAAAAGAAAACAAGTAGATAGATTTTTTATGTAAAACCATCAACGATATCCATAGTTTTAAAGTACTTAGCATGGAAATATACCGTGAATTCTAGATTATCTCAAGATGAAATTGTCGCATTGTCTAGAATAGTTTTTTTTAAATTTCTATAGTCAAAGATTATGCGAGATTCTTACATTTATTCTCGTAGGAAAAAATTATAGTTGAATATCATGATGAAAAAGTGATAATTTACTTGTGGCAAATGCCTGTGGTTTCTGTCTATGATTATTAATTAAAATGTTTCTTAAAAAAGATGTCCTTACTTGATTATTATATTTCTTTCAGTGACATGTACGAGTTACTGACAGTTGAATTAAAAATAACAAGAATAACGAGAGATGTATGCATTCAAAGATTAAAATGATTAGAAAAAAAAAGCTGGTATCTTAGTATAATTATAATGAGAGCATTATTATTGATGAAAGCGTATTTATAGTTGGGTTCAGAAAATTTCTATGTATATAGAGTAAATGATTGTCGTATTTACGTAACAATAGCTACCACTATGCTCAATTGTCGACTTATTCTTTTCATTAGGGATGTACCAACTGCATCAGTAAATTTAAATGAAACGATCATAATAAAACCCAATTATTCAATAAACCATTTTTAATTCTCTTTGTGCACAAAATAAAGTATTGGCAGGTGTAAAACGTAGATTCTTTCCTCTAACATAGCAGCAAACATCATTGAAACTGTATGGCATGTTTTATAAAATATAATTATCAGTAGAAATATTAATGCCAGTATAAAAGCTAAAAAGAGACATATAGAATATAGATTATCAAAAAGAAATATATATAAACTCTTCCTTCTTATATTATCATTTATTTTTAGAATGAACGACAATAACTATGTTGGTTATTTAAAAATATCTTTTAGATGACTCTGTTTTTATATAGAAGAAGTCTGAAATATCCTGTGTGACTATAAGCTAATTAATTTTTAATGAACAACATAAATGGAAAACTTTTTTCCGTTCCCCCCAAGCAGAGCTTTAACTAAAAAAGCATGTTATTCTTTTAGAAAAGAAACATACTAGCAAAGTCAACATTCAGACTTTTTTCCGTTCGTTTTTGAGATATTTTACAGCTTTTTCAAAAATTTCACTTTCTCGTTTTTATAAGAAAAATACCAGATAAATCTTGTCAGGAGCTATATTTTCACCCTAAAAATCATTCAAAACAGGCGATTTTATCACAATCAATCGCTTTGGACGAAAAATTAATTTGAAAAGTGTATCTCGCTACAGACAAAAAAATGAAATGTTTTTTAACACTTCTTTTTTGTCAAGTATTTGGGTGTGGGTATCGATGAGTATATAGAGAAGATAAACCCACACCCTCCACTATTCTTATTTTTCATATAAAGCGTGTGATATGCAAAAACGAGATTCTTTATGGAGATGTTCGAGTAAAATCACAATATCTATATTATCTTCAACGATGGATGTGTTAAAATAACCGAAAACAACTTAGATTGATGATTTTTTAAATCGAAATAATGTGGCAATCAAAAATTTAGTTTCTATTACACACCATCGTGTTCGCCCTGTTATAATATAATTGTAGAAACATTGTGCAATGAAAGGAAGAAAAAGAGCAGTCGTTGGATACCTATTGATACATGACTCACAAAAAATAAGCCATTCAAAGAAAAGGAGAAAATACTTTGCTTTTTATCGACATAGTTGTGTCTCTTATTTATATATTTGCCACGTGGAAGACGTAGGAACTTTTGAAGATGAATGGCAGTACATGTGCATAAGACTAATATGTCATGTCGCAGATATTTCAATGTGAGAAATGTAATGATAATTGTAAAGCATCATTCTAAATCTTTACTTCGCCCTCACTCTCAATATGAATTGCATATTTCCCGTCTTTATCTCTTGTGGGAAAATAATTGAACCACAATTTATTTGAAATAATTAGTATTTAATTAACTATAGACAGTGTAAGAACAAAACACATTTTTTTACCACCATAAGCACAATTCGAACTGTCGACGTTCTATATCATAATTATCAAGTAATTTTTCATTATCGATCATTGTCTTCAATTGTTTGATCATTACATCATCACCATCAAACACTAATGAAAAAAGATGACTGTTGTCAATTCTGTTTGACAACAAAGTTCGTACAAATGATATGAGAGCATCCCCTCTGTTCTGAATTTCAAGACGTTCCATTCGAGGAAAAAGCTTATTGATTAGTCGAACAGTGGTAAGTGGAAGTCCACCAATTATTTCTACATTTCGCACATTGTTATTGCATACCAAGTCCACTGTATTAGTTTGTTGATCTGAAGATACTTCCATTTTAAATGATGATCGTACGTCAAGAATCAACTTTTGAACATTAGGCATACGATTAAGAAGTTTAACAAAATTGTTCAACAATTGATTATTAAATGAAATCTCTAAATAAGTAATATTTGTCAAAATTACAATATGACTTAGATTATCGATGAATGAATAAATATTGATCGTATAATAATTATCTCTGAATTCTAATTCAGTTACACGAGGAAATTGAAAATGAAAATTGGCAACGATATTTTGATTTTTCATACTAATGCGTGGTCCAAAAGATAAATTGAAGACTGGATCTTGGTACGAACATATGCTCTTATCTAAAGATTCATCAATTCGACAGCAGTATCGCCTAAAAGAAAAGAATCATTATTTCACAACAATAAGTATTTTCTTTCATTGATTATACCGGTGCATTTGAGTTGAATAGAATGCTGCATATACCTCTTGAGAATTATGATAATGGCTATGGGCAAAAACCCATTGTCGTTCGATCCAAAATGGTGAAGAGAATTCATCAAGTAATGTTTGACAGCGACTATTTCCATCAGCATCTTTAATTAATCGCCCATGGTAATCAAATAGAAACGTACGCAAACGTGGCATATGATGTACAATTAATTGTTGCCACTGATAAGCATTTGATAGGGCAGTTTCATGAATAATTGAAATGCGTAAGAATTCGAGTTCAGAACCAACGATTGCAATGAATGATGCGAATTCATTAAATGTTAAATGCCAATGGCATAGAGAAATACTAGTTAGATTGCATGGCAGTATAAATTGTTCTAGTGGTATGTATCTACTGCACAATATATTCCCAAATGACAAACGACGAAGTCGAGGTGTATACGATAGGAGATTGTAAATACTTGTAAGATGAGGTGGACCAGCAAAGGCGAGATACTCAAGAGTCATACTTCGTTGATTGTCGCTCGGAGCTGGAGGAAACGGAACTAAAGTACTCCATTTTGCACACAAAATTTTGGCATATCGTAAAACAGGTAGACGAAATATTGATTGAAAAATAATAAATAGTTCATCACATTCGAAACAAAAGATTTTGAGAGAGAACAGTCGAGGTAAATGGACTAAACTAGTAAGAATAGAAACATCGTGATCTATATTAAGATCATTAAATACCAATGATTCGAGACGATTGAATGATGTGTCAACAGGAAATGATGTAAAAAAATTTTTGATGAAAAATGGTTCTGATAATTGTAGTGAAATAATTTGATTCATATATAGACGGATAATATTGATCGAACGTCTGTTGAAATTCGATTTCGACATAAATGAAATATTTAATTTGAGGAAGAAATAAGAACTAGTAATGAGATGTTGGATACGATTATTAAGATTAGAAAAAGTTTCGAATATATGATAACCATCAAGAAAATCGAAAATATCGAGTAAAAGTTCATTTGAAAGATCTTCAAAATGCGTTGCTGATCTATGATTATAAGAAAGAAAATTACAGATTCCAAAATACTCATATTATTAGAAGAGATTGTATTTTATTTTTTCAAACTTACCTTTTCATCTTCACTTTTAGCTATTCAACTAAATGATTATTTTAAACCATGGCGATGAATTTATAATATTACGCTGAAAGAAAAGCATTTTTTTCTAGACGACTAAATCAGGCAGCACTATGGACGAGAAAAATAATCTGTACGCCGTCGTAAGATGTTAGTTCAAAGTTCAATGATATGGAAATAGAAATATTTTCGATCGGTCAGTAAATATGTAAGTAAACGGAGCTTGTGAGTGGATGAGAAATGAGTGAATACATGTATACCTACAATTCACATATACTTTTTTATTTTTAAATTAACATTTTATTTTAAGCGAGCGTTCAATACAATCAATAGCGATTTTGTTCTTTGAAGCTATCACAGCTACATAAAATTTCTCTAAACTTGGCATGAGATGACGAAGCTCCTTCCATCAATTAGCATTCAAATAAGAATAATCTCTCGACAGAATTCACAATCCTTTCATGTAACGAATATCTATGAGATCATTAGAAGTATGCCGAAGGGTGTGAGTGAGGATGCGAGAGAAGTAGCGGCATCCACATCCACCCACTAAGTTACGTACTACTTTCGACATAAAATACGGGTTGATGAAAAATTTGAATAGAAAATACAATGATATATTTTGTAAAGTATATTTTTGAATCATAATCTGTCTAGATTAATTCTCGGAGTTATATACTAATTAAAAATGGTTCATATAGATTCTTAGATACAATTTAATTTTTATTGATCACAAGTAACCAGTTGTCGAAATTGGAAAAAGAATCGATTTCTATAAGAGTGGAAAGTTACATTGACCTTTTTAATTTATATCTGAAGAATATTTCTAGAATAGGAAAGCAAATAATTCTAATTTCTGATGTAATATCATACAACAAGAAAAGGTGGGCAACTGCATTCGGTACTAGAAATTTTATGCGGGGTGAGTTACGTAATAATACAATATTAACTAACGACTACGTTATATGATTAATTAGAAGTGTCGTAGGATCTTTCATTAATGACGTAAAATTGACAAGCTATTTTTGTAAAAGTAGTACAACTACGCGATTATGCACACGTAAGTATAACGTCATTGATCAACGCCCTTAGTTGTTATAATAGAAAAAGAACACCAAGATTGAGCTTTACCTTGTTCTTACTTGCTTTTACCACGTAGTTGCGCTTTATAAAAGAAAATAAATATTTAGCAAACTATTTTATTCTTGTCACCTCCTGCTCAGAATTTTACATCAAAGTGCGTATATCATTATAGTATCGGTTTTGAATGACGTATATGGTCCTAACTTATAATGTACGTCATCTCTACCACGCGTTATTTGGCCGATCATTATAAATAGTTGGAGAAATGTTTTTAATTATTATTATATTCAGTTATTTGATACAAAGAAATTCTTTATTTTTTTTGACAACAGTTCAATCATGAAGCCAATTATCATATTATGCTGATTATTTATTATTTTATCTTTCATTGATACTGGTAAGTCTAATGAAAATTAGTAATATAAAAATCTAGATTTTCTCTTTTTAGTTATTGCATATCCACATAATACAAATCGTTTATACGATATAATTCATCGATCCATGAACAAAAATGATGATTCACTAATATCAAATGTTCAAACTTCTAAATTTATACGCTCACTAATATCTGCATCAGTCCATCAACAATCAAGTTCAGGAGAAGATAATGAACAATTCGATGAAGTAAAACGTGATGCTTTGGATTCAGGTGAAGAACAATATTTTAAATGGGCTTCATTAAATCGTCGACCTATGGAATCATTAGTAGGACGAAAACGATTCGCCGAACTTATTGTATCAGAGCCAAAACCTAGCCGAATCGTTGCTGGCATATGGCGTAGTGGACTTGTTGGTTAAAATAGAATAATCCACTTTTATTTGAAAATAATAAACAACATTTCTTGTTTTTGTTATCAGAACGATTGAATTTTGAATAAAAATGATTGAATGTAAAAACTTCTATATCTTTCTTAGTCTTTATTTATTAACATCTGGCAATATTATAATATACATTCTAGTCTGTTCAACTAATGAAACAATATGATACACTGTCTTTCATGTTAATCATTACAAAATATTAAAATGTTTAGATCATAGCATTCTACATATTGTTTTATTTCCTAGACGGATTATAAGAGTTGTTCAATAAGCGTTTGATCACTTTTGTTTTAGTCATTCTCAACCGGAAGTCTAATCCAAAGATTACTACTAAGGAAATGTTAATCGTAATTCATTTTATGTTTAATAAATTATTTTAGAATATTTAAGAACAGACAAGATTTCATTTCGAATCAATTTTTGAGAGTGGGTGAGTATGAATGTGGTTCAGAGATAGATTTAACATCGAACTATACTACACTCACACCCTTGTTTGGTAATCTTTTATATTAATAAAAGTGAAAAATATTTGTTTTTTTTTCTGATATTTATTCTCATCACAACTTATGTGACCACATCAATATCATAATCTAGGTTTCGACAGTCATAGTTTATATTTCAAAAAATATATAGACTACTTCATACTATGAACCAAACGTAGCAGATATTTCTTCTAACATCCATAAACCTAAGAGAATTTGTAAATATTATTACTCCAAATCGATTATATAAAAGAACGAGTAATAGGTTAGTTTAAATGTATTTAGAAAAAAAATATTAATTAGTTACAAAGTGAAATAGCAAAATAGAAAGTCAAAAGAATCAGAAAGATGATTCTTATTTATGTTTTGATAATAATTTAATTGTCCATTTTTGAATAAAATGTATAATAATGGCAACAGTAATAGTTGAAAATAAATATTTTGGAAATTTCAAAAATACAAATCTCATTTTAGCTTGCTGTTGTTTATAAAAATAAGGAATTGGATGTAAACCTTCTTCTATTTCTACAAATGGATTATAGTTATTTCCATATATCCATCGTGTTATATGATAATAAATACGAATTGGTATAAATACTAAATGTACTGTTCTTGATGAAACTTTATAACTAAATGAAAAAAAACAAAATTTAATTTACATAATCTACAAATTTTATTCTAAGCTAATTTACTTTTCAGAAAAGACTGATGTTGATACATTATTAACCATTAAATAACTACTTAACGTAAGTGGAGAATAAAAACCTTGACCAATTGTTATTAATATATTTGTTATTTCAACTGTTTTACCAAACATAATTAAGCGGTCTTGCATAGTTACTAATGATGCACGTTTTATTTTGATTTTATTTTCAATTGTATCAAATACAGGTATATTGTGAGCTCCTGTTAAACTAAATTTACCACCTTCGACACTTTGAAATGTATAAAATATAACTTAATAAACAAGAAATAGTTTAATATTAAAGGAAAAAGAGACTAAAAACCTTTTTGATTTGGTCCATTATGCATCATTAAAATAATTTCATCTTTGACAAGTTCATAATTATGATTGTTAATTGACCAGACTTTATCACCAACTTTTAAATGTTTTATACGGCGTTGTCCACCTTCGACCAAACTAACAAAATCTTCACCATAATAACATCCTGATGTGTCTGTACTTGTTGTCGTTGTTGTTGTAGTAGTCGTAGTAGTTGTTGTAGTTGATGTAGTTGTCGTGGTTGTGGTTGTTGTCGATGTTGT